ACGGGGTTATTGAATCCAGAGTAATGTGTGAAGTTTGTTCTGAAATACTTGCAACTGGTATGCTAGCCATTGTTACAGCTGAACTTCCTACAATTGGTTCGTTGGGCCTTGTTTTAACAGAAGTTCCACAGTTGATTTGCTAGCCTTTGATATATATTAAGTAGGATTAAGAAATGGGTGGTCTATCACTTCTGGCAATATCATTGAAAATGTTTCTGCTGAAAAGAATGATTTCAGTGCAAGAAAGCCCCGAGATAATGTTGTTAGGTATCACATATACCATCAAGGCTTGATGGACTAGTGCAGAAACTTACTATATTGTCATCGTTTGGTCTCAATTGCTCAGAATCCAAGAGATACAGCTTTCATGAATATAGTAAATACTCCTCCTGTGTAAAAGTTGTAGTTTATGTAACTTATAAAGGGGAAGCGAAAGGAGAACATGGCTTTTTTGCAAAAATCAATCATCTCTATAAATATATGTGAATCATAATTATTTAACATTAGAACGGTCAGACATCCTAGACTGAGATTAACATGCTTTAAAAAAATGCTTTGTAAAAATAATAGAATATTTTTTATTACATCCACCCTAAACCATTAGCAATTCTAATACGATCTGGTGGCCTATCTCGAATCAAATGTTGTTGAAAATGATTTTTGGGAAAGATAAGCATTGGAGGAACACTATTTATGTGCCATTAATAGTGATTGCCCACGATATTACCACGCATATTCCCCGAGATATTAATATAGCTATCTGTTTTCTTCCTATTCTTGTAAGTGCGCAATTTGGAGTTGTGTGTACAGTTGTCACACCAGGTTGCACATATTGCAAATATTTTATTGTTCAAACTTAGAATACCCTAAAAATTAGCTAAATTATCAAAGAACTAACTTATTGTTGTTTTGTTGAAGCTTGCCACAAGTGTCAAGCTTGTTGTTGCTCGTGTTTTCTTCATTGAGATTTTAAAGTGTCTCATTCCGAGATTGGGGGGAACATTTAATCCAAGACATATTCCACACGTAATGCAAGTCTCCGTTCCTATTTTGGTGTAAGCCCATGATATAGGTCAACAACTGTAACTAAATAATTGACCAACTTCTTTTCTATTTCACCCAAGAAGACACCCCTGTGCGATGTATAGCCCATTCTTGGAGGATGATTCCACTTATTAAGCTAGTTTTTGACAGTAACAATAGAGAATAACGTGGCATATGTCAAAATCTTGGCCACTTACTTAATGGAGTTACAACTGTTGCTGCCGCGATTCTTTCCTGATTTACGTTAAAGAAGTACATGCACTGTGCAAACGGGTTAACCGTATTCCAGTCCTGATTGGATTGGGTAAAACTGTTTCAACGGACTTTTGTTACAATTTCCCCAGCCTCCCCTATCGTCTTATACAGTTCTATTGAAACACGAAATTTTGCTTCCGTCTGATCACAGTCGATATATACACAGTGTATTTGAATTATGTGTACTACAGCAGTTATATACAGCGATAAATATTAGGTCGACAAGAAATTAATGTCGCTTTTTTTTTACATGAAAAACCCGAACAACTTATATATCAAAACAAAACATTTATCAAATGAAATAGTCTCCATTCT